GGCATTAGTCTGGCAGTTTCACTTGGCCAAGCACTGGTCAAAAACAAGACTGCTGGTCAGTGGCTACAATTCATTCTTTGCCAAGGAAATTTGTGTGGCTTCTTTTATTCCTTCTTCAATAGCAACCCCTGCAAAGTAGAGGATTCTCTGCTTCCAGGTGAAGAGCTGCAAGTATAGGGTGAAGGAATCAATTGCCAAAGGCCACACACACAACAGCCTTGATGTGGTCAGAGCTGAGATGCAATTCCTGGTGTGACTTTAAAGCCCCTCCCTCTCCCACATCATCGAGGTCCTTCCTACCTGCCCTGCTCAGCATCACTGTCTGCTGGACCCTAGGCCATGCTTGCTCTAGAGAGGCCAGCGTACAATGGAAAACAGCTGGCACTGGTTGTAACTGAAGCTGCAAATGCAATGTAGGTTTGGAGTGAATTGCAGTCCTGACTTTCAGAAGATTTACTAATTAGAGTTTGAGTCACAGATGTTCAGTTGTTTTATTATTCACAGGGTCTCTCCTCATATACTTTCTACCTTCCCACATATTCCCTCTGATGTAAATTGCTCATGAATTGCAAAAGTGTATTCTTGAGTTAGGGCGGCCCCATATCAATAAACCTTGGGGAAAGTCTTCATGTGTGATTCCATCCCTGGGTCTTTGTGGATAAAGAGCCTTCTTCGCTGAGCAGTTTTAATGGCTTGTTAACCAGATGAGTGTTCTAGATGGGATATACTGCATCTTAGTGAAATCTGACCAGTTCTGTCATTCTTTAAAAAATATTTGAGTACCTTCTAGATGTCAGGAATTAGAAGGGTCAACCCCACTGACAAAGATTCTGCCTCGGCAGAACTGGCTTTCTAGCAGTGGAGATCGCTGATAGACAAGTGAGCAAAGTCATAGGAATTCAGATAGTTGCAAATCCCCGTGATTTCAGTCTCCACATTTGACTGTCTCCCACTTAATCTCCTTGACATCAGATCACCGTTATGTTTTTTTTTTCCCTTGCGAGTGTCTGCAACTTCTGTGGCTTCAGATGCCCATACCTGTGTTGTGACCCAGGCTGGAAGGACCTCTTGTGTTTCCCCCAGACTCCTGTTCATCCTTCTGATTGTGGTTGTTGCCTCTTCCTGGTCTCTACTGTCATAACTGAGCAGCCACGTGTTACAATTTCCTGCGTTTCTGGACACATAACCCCTTCTGGACTCTGAACATTTTAAGGAGAGACCATTTGTGTCTGATTTATCTTTATGTCTCCGGCAGGAAGCATGAAATTTTGTGCCATTGGATGTTCAGTGTTTGCGCCAAGATTAAATGTTGAGTCCTACGGCACCTAGTGGCGGGTGCTGGTATTACAGGAATTGCTTCGTGGCGGGGGGTGCTGAGTCTGGGAGGGGGCCTGCTAGCCTATCAGTTCAGTGATTTTTTGAGAAGTTCAGCATGAATATGGTCATGATTAGAGGCGACGTGCTAGTATATAGGCAGTGATGATGAAAGAGAGGCAGCATGGGGCATTCTGTGAGTCTCTGAAGAAAAGTGAGAAATTTGAAGTTTTATGGGTCTAAGGCGGAACTGGAATCCTAAGGATGTGTAGCTGATGTCCAGTTAGGGCTGTGGTTTGACCTGGTTCCAGCAGCTAGATAGTTGCAGATCAGGTGAGGCGTCCAGGCTTCTCGGTTTAGAGGGCTTTCAACTACGCTGGGGCTGTGGCACAGAGGCACAGAGAGGTAAGTTACTTGCCCAGATCACTCAGCTAGGTGTGGAACCTGGATTCAGACTTAAATCTGTCCAGTAACAGAGGCCAGCTTGTCACCACTAAGCTAGTGTGTCTCTCCTTGGAGACTGAAATGTGTGGTGGTAACTCATTTGTCCTTCTCCTCTTTTACTAGTTGAAAGTGAGGGTAGAAAAATATTATTATTGACATGTTTTCTTTCTATTGAATGTAGTTGGATTTTTTCAGAAAAACATTCACGAATGTTACAAGTTCCTAAATTATTTGCAGTGTTTATATACGTGTGTATTTAAGTAACATAAAGAAGGTTTTGTTTTCCTCTACCACTAAATTTAAAAGGCTCTTATTTCATTTTTATTGAAGTTCATTTAAAAGTAAAAATTTATGCTATATTATAATAAATGAGAATCTAGTTCTTTAATTTTAGGAACTCCAGCTCTATAGTGATTTAATTAGAATATCCTTACCTACACCTTTCACATCTAGTACTCTCTAACATCTGTTGACATATAGACTAGAAAGTGCTTGCATCACTATTTTAGAAATGATTCTTTCTAGACATAGGAAAGTTAAATGACTTGTCTGAATTTTAAAATGAGTTGATAGGGAAACCAAAAATAGAAGCTTTTCTACTACATATTAGACTCACTAAAGTTCCAAACTAGAAGCTATTTGCATTCACTGAGCAGTCTGAAGTCCAGAGCCTGGTTCACCAGCCTGTTTTAATACATAGGAATGTTGCTGTTGAGGGTAAGGACTGGCCAGGGAAAGGCAGAAGGAGGGCTGACACCTTTGTTTCCAGGTCATTTCCAATCCTGCTATTACTGCAGTTTTTTGGGGCAGAGAGGGAGGGAGATAATATGCTCATTAAAGTGAAAGTGTTCATTTTGAAGTAAAGCAATAGAAACCCAAGGTGGCTCTGTTACATAGGTAAATGATATACATAAATAGACTCAGTTTTGTTTTAAATGCTCAGTCATGTTCTGTGTTTAGGTAAAAGAGTAAGGAAGTACTTGTTTAAAAATTAAACCGCATGTTGTTCATTTAACTGTTAAGTGTGACTGATTAGAATAATAATGAGTGCTTCCATGTAGTACAATATTCATAGAAGTACTGACATTATGGTGGGTAGAGATAATAGAATGATGTTCTGTATCTCTGCTTGTGATCTAACTGTTAAAATGCAGCCTAATTCATAAATGATGAAGAAAACAAGCAACATTATTCAAATGGGATACTTGGGGCAATTAAATTCTTAGCATAAATTGCAAATTCCTGTCTCTTCCCCATCTTCTGCCCAAATTTGTTTTTATGGGATGACCTTTGGTACCAACTTATTTTTTCTAATAAAAGGTTTCCTGAGTTTATATTTTAAATTGAAATGGCCTTTTCTGTCAAGTATGGTATTTATAAAAGTTTTCTTTGATAAAAAGCCTATGAATTTTGTGCAAACAACCCAGGCAGCTTCTTAGATTAGTGATAACATTTGTATAGGACTTTTATGGCTTGATACGTTACTTTACACTCGATTTATTTGACCCTTACCTGTGAGTACTCAGTGAAATTCACATTTTACTGATGAGAACAATGTAGGGGAAGGTGACTTGGCATGGTTCTGGGCACGAGTGGGCATTCAGCATTTTGCTTTAAAAGGAAGTTAGCAAAGGAAACCAGCAGATTATTTAACTTGTTCGAAGTCACCCAGTAAATAGTGCATCATACCAAGAACTGAATTTGCTTCTTTAACTAAAAAATTCCATATGCTCTCATTGTCTACTGCTGTCTTTTCAGGCTGTTTTAAAAAAAGTTCAAATTTAAAATATTCATTTTTCTTAATTGAGATGAAATTTGCATAACTTAAAATTAATTTTAAGGTGTACATTTCAGTGGTATTAAGTGCATTCACAGGGTTCTGCAGCCTTTGCCTCTATCTAGTTCAAAAATGTTTCCATCATCCCCAAAGGAGACCCCACATCTATTAAACATCCAGTCCATTCCCTCCTCCCCTCAACTGCTGGTAACTATGAATCTGCTCTCTATCTTTGTGGATTTCCCAAAGACATTTCATGTAAATAGGTATTTCATGTAAATGGAATGTGGACTGGCTTAGTCCCTTCAGGCTGTTATAATAGAGTACCATAGACCCGGTGACCTATGAAAAACAGAAATTTATTTCTCACAGTTCTAGAGACTGGGAAGTCCAAGATCAAGCCTTAAGTTGATTTGGTGTCAGTTCCCTCTTCATGGATGGCTTTCTTCTCACTGGGTCCTCACTTGGTGGAAAGGAGCACTCTGGGATCTCTTTCATCAGGACACAAATCCCATCACACCCTCTACCTCTTAATTCTAGATTAACCCCCCAGATTTGGGGTTAGGATTTCAGCATATAAATTTTAGAAGGACATAAATATTCTGTCCGTTGCAATAACCTTTTGTGTCTGGTTTCTTTTACTTAACATAATGTTTTCAAGGCTGATCTATGCTGCAGTGTGTATCAGTACCTTATTACTTTGGATGGCTGAACTACATTCCATTGCAGAGACAGACCATATTTTGTTTAGCCATTCATCAGTTGAGGGACATTGAGTTGTTGCCATTTTTCAGTGAATAGTGCTGTTCTGAACATACGTGTTCAAATATTGGTTTGAATGCCTGCTTTTGGTTCTTATGAGTGGAATTGCCAGGTTATATGGTAAATTCTATGTTTGACTTTTTGAGGAACTAACAAACTTTTCCATAGTGACCAAACCATTTTACGTTCCTATCAACACTGTACAAGGGTTCTGATTTCCCTACATCCTTGTCAATGCTTGTTTGAGTTAAAAAATTATTATAACCATCCTGGTGTGTGTAAGTGGTATCTCCTAGTGGTGTTGTTTTGCATTTTCTTTATAAAATATTCACATTTTAATACATAGAATTAATCATGAGACAAAATCAACATCAAAAGGATTGACTTCATCTATCTCCAGGAGATTTTTTAAGATTGCCATCTGATCACCCCTAGAGTGTATGATTCTGAGCTGAAAACAAAGCCAACAAACCACGTGGCTTTGGAATGAGAAGCATGTATATGGATAATCAGACAATTACCCCTGACTTAAGAAAAATACCACTTAAACTAATGAGGAACAAAAAGCAATTACATCATGTTTCGTTTCCATGCCACCTGCCAAAAGATACTTAGTTCTTTGCGTGGCAAAGCTTTCTTTATGTAATTCTTTCCTGTCTTAATGGTCTATTCATTTATTTTTGCAGTGTGAGTGAAGACACCCATGATGGCTCAGGGATCCGGGGATCAGAGAGCAGTGGGGATCGTGGACCCAGAGGAGAGTTCTCCAAATATGATAGTCTACCGCAAAGTAAGGCATCTGGTTGAGTGCTGGGGGCACTGCTGCGTGTCTGTATCCTGTGGGGGCTGATGATTGATGGGTGGCTCGACAAATGTTTTCAGCCTAAATGGCCTTGCCTGATAATTGAACATAATTTTCTTCTCAGACCCTCTGATTCCCAAAGTTTAAAATTCAAGGAAGCTATGCTGGTATCGAACATTTGAAAACCATTATGTGGCTTAGTTTTCTTTAAACCAAAGATTGCCTAAGAGTGTAGATGGACATGTATTGTCCTTCCATGTAAAGGTCTTTGTGTAACATTAATTAATTGAATGTTCTTCAAACCCATAGTACTCATAAGATCTGTTCTGGATGCTGTTGGAAGGACACAGAGCTGTGTTTGTATTAGATGCTTTACAGCTGGTAGGAGACATAAGATATATGCAGATCACTGTTACAGAGTCTCAGTGTTAATTTCTGAAAGAAAAGTGCTGGTAGAGTGTGCCATAATCTCAGAGGAGGCGGGCAGTTACTTCCAACCTCAGAGATCTGGCATGGGCTGTGGACGAGAGGCCCTTGAACTCAGTTTTAAAGGATCCACAGGTTTTCCGCCTTACGTGGAAAGCGGAAGGGTAGAGCAATATTCCAGGCAATGAGATGCTTTGCAAAGGCAAAGAGCGGGAATAAGTGAAGGGCAACCAGAACCAGGTTAGCTTGGGCAAAGGATGACTTACAAGTAATTGGAGTAAATGGAAGTGAGGTTTAGAGCAGAGTCTGGATGGAGCCAAATTTTAGAATGTTGAGTCATAGGCAATTTAATCATAAAAACTTTAGTGCCAGGAGTTGTAAAAACAACATTTTTGGGGGATTATGAGCCCTGCCCCGGTGAGGCTCTTATCCCCACGTGGACTATCATCAAGGGTGGATTGGAGGCTTTGGCAGGGGTAGGTTGGGGTGCTTCTGTATCCCCCCTCGGAAATGAGCAGGACTGAGCAGGAGGTTTAAAGAGTCTGAATTAACAACGACTTGGAAACAGAATGAATATAAAAATCAGAAGGTGAATGGAGAGTCAAAGATGACTGGTTTTTGCCCTTGGGTGATAGAAGGGCATTGGTGCTGTTAATTCAAATAGAAATATTTGGAAGCATATGTTTTAAAGGAAGGAAATGTGGCATGTTGATTTTACTTGTGCATTGCTGAATTTGAGAAAATAGGTGCTGTTTCTCATGTACCTTTTTAATGTTTGCATGTTTGTGCAAACAGAGCCGAACTACGTCATATGTTATTAAAAATAAGGAAAATAAGATCATGCTCAATTGTTTCACTAAATATTTGAGTTGTCTGCTGGGTTCTGTGTATTCTGCAAGACTCTGTGTTCTATCTATGTTAATCATATGAACAGTGTTGAACTAGATATTCCTGGATGATCAATATGGTGAATTTTTCACTTCTCCTTGTAAAAATAGAACTCTCAGAGTACTCTTGCTTTTAGTATTAAATTCCTTAATCCTTTGCTTTACAAAAGAATGCTTAGATAACCCATTTCTAAGAGAGATGCTTATTAAGTTGTAGTAAAGAAAAAAGATTAGTGGGGCTAACGGAGTTGTGAGACATGTAAAAATAACATAAAGACATTTATTAATTACCTTGTTAACCCCCCAGTACAGGCTTGACCCTGTGCCAAGCTTGTAGGAACGTGGGGTTTGAAGTCAGACCTGGGTTAAAATGGCAACTCCGCCACTTCCAAGCTGTGTGACCTGGATGGAGTAAGTTAAATAACTTCTGTGAGTCTCTGTTTTTTTATCTATAAAAGCAGGGGAAAAGGTGGGAGGAAAGATGGTACCTCATGAAGTTATCATGAAGATTCATTTGGATAAAGTCAGTAAAGCATCTCACATCCTGCTTGGCATAGAGGTGGTCCATGATGAAGGCTTCTTTTCCTTTTATCTTTTTTCTTCTAGAGTCAGTGACACTAGGAGAGGAAATAAATTATGAAATTGTATAAATGTTGGTGCTGTTAGAAAGGTGCATTCATACAGCGAGTTGCCTTTTAAGACACAGGAAAACAATGCAAATATTTTTATATTATTCAGGAGATTGCAAATCAATGGATTATTAGAGGTTAATAGGAGGTGTAAAGGTCATGCAATCCAAACACCTTTCCACAAGAACGTTTGGTATTATGTGGAAGGGGATAACTCCCTACAGGTTTGTGGGAACTTGATTTTTACTTTTTGGGTGGTACCAGAGGCCTCTTAATTTTTAAGTGTAATTTAGGGATAAAGTTGTAAAGTGCTGTAATTTTTCAGAGAAATGACCACTAGTTATTTGGTTTCTACATTGGAAATCTATCTTGCTTCCTCATGACAATCTGTGGTGGGTATATATGTGTTCATGTTATTTGCTATGGTAGTTAATTGATATAAAAGAGACATTGGATCTATTCAATCTATTAGAAAGAAAGCAGACACACTTATCGAAAGTATGGGTCCAGGACCTGGAATCATTTAAATCTAGTTAATTGGACTAACTTAAGCCCTAGTTGTGCTTGAAACATGGGATATCCATCTAGTTCTCTGCTGTAGACTGGGTACTGGCTATGACCAAGACTAACCTAATGTAGGACACTATCCTCAAGGTGTAGGTAAAGGCTGACTCATGAAACCAAGGTTGATTAAAAATATTTTTTATGGAAGTCCTCTTATGTAATGATTTATTCAAGGTCAGAGCTATAAAATCAAACCTTTTCTCAGAGGTCTATAACAGAAATGTGCATTTAAAAATGTGCAAATGATGTTTTCATTTTAATTTTTGTTCTCTTGCTTGTTTGTTTCTTTCTCTTGTCAGATGTTTTCAGTATGAAATTTTTGCCTGGACTGTGTCGTGTTGATTCAGATACTGACATTTAAAAAGCTAAATCTAGAGAAGTGGAGCTTTTGAGTAAACCTCCGATTAATAAGTGGGGTGATTATGTCCATAGTGTTGTTGTGACTTTTAAATGCCATTTAGGAAGGTAACCTTCTGACATATGAGTAATGATGGGTGGATTTCTTAAGCCTACACTTTTCAGAATACTTTACATTTTCTTTTCATGTTTTCTATGTCATTAACTGTAAGAAGTTGTACTTTCCCAAGGCATGGTTTATTTATTGACTTGAGCAGGCTTTCTAATTTAGTTTTTCTATTCTTCATATTCACATTTTGGATAGGAGGTGTTGCATGAAAAATGTATTGGTCACATTAAAAATCTATTTAAAAGAAAATATTAATTATTAAGTTGCCTAGACCTGTTAATTTTTTTTTTCTTTTTCTTTTTTTTTTACTGTTCCTAGATCCAAAAGATCCTGGGGGTCATTGAACCTGGCTGTATATCAGACCATTTAGGGGTACTTTATAAAAATACTGGTCCTCAAAGGACCCTTGGGCTTCCCTGGTAGCTCAGCTGGTAAAGAATCTGCCTGCAATGTGGGAGACCTGGGTTCGATCCCTGGGTTGGGAAGATCCCCTGGAGAAGGGAACAGCTACCCACTCCAGTATTCTGGCCTGAAGAATTCCATATAGTCCATGGGATCGCAAAGAGCTGAACACAACTGAGCCACTTTCACTTTCACTTTCAAAGGACCCTCAAGTTGTTTTAGTTTAATAGGTCTGAACTGGATCCTAGGAATCTGAGTTTTAAAGTGTTCTCAAGAGAATGTGATACCCAGCTAAGTTTGAAACACATTTATTTAGTGTCTTTTAATATATCTGGGTGGAGTATGCATTGTAAAGTCATGGAGAAGTTGGTATCTTGAAGGGGGTTTTTGATTTTGTAATTATTTGCAGATGTTACAAGATGTAGAAGAAGGCTCTTATCGAGTTAGAATTAAGGAATTTTAGTGACTTCATCTTAAGAGATTTTTCTAGTCAATATTCTCATTTTATAGATGGGAAAACTGAAATATAGAAAAGATGTAAAATTTGCTGAAGGTTACTTGGCAGTTTCCCAGTGAACCTGCGATGGGGTCCTGGTGACTTGACAGGCCCAGTTGGTATCCTCTCTCCCATCGATTTATCAACCACAAACTACCATTTCTACATTGTTGGGGCTGAAAGCCATTAGTTAAACTAATGAAAATATCATGTGGCAGATCTTTGATTTCCGAGGTTATTCTCCGCGGTGTGACTTGGGGTACCTTTGAACTTTTGTAATGCTCAAGCTTCATTCTACTTGCTAGTGCTCTTGTTTCTTGAGTGAAGATGTTCTGAAATGTTTGCTTTTTTTAATAACTAGTAACTCTTTTGAGTGAGAGTAGGTTGCTTTCTGTTTTTATTTGGTTCCGAGTGGTGGTGATAATGTCTCTTGACAAATTTCCGCCTGGGTTAGTCATCTGATTTGGTAGAACTCTGGGAATTTAAATGGTAGGTTGTTGTTGTTTAGTCGCTAAGTCGTGTCTAACTCTTCTGCAACCCCGTGAACTACAGCCCACCAGGCTTCTCTGTCCATGGAATTTCCCAGGCAAGAATACTGGAGTGGGTTGCCATTTCCTTCTCCAGGGGAACTTCCCGACTCAGAGATTAAACCCACGTCTTCTGCACTGGCAGGCAGGTTCTTTACTGCTGAGCCAACCAGGGAAGCCCCCAAATGGTAGGTACACAGAGGAAATTATAGCTTCCTGTGACCCAGGATGGGAAGGTCAGGAGGTGGTACATTATGTCGGAAGATGCCAAACAGGGAGCTGAGAGCTCTGGCTCACTTAATGCTTTGGTTCTTCTGATGAGGAACTTCATCTTCCTGGCTCTGCTGCTTATTTTGCCTTCCTCCTTCCCAACTAAGAAACACTTCTTACCAAAAAAAAAAAAAAGAAAAAGAAAAAAAATTAGTCTACATAAAACAGAAAGAAGCTTGATAAAATTAACCCTGTTTACCTAAAGGGTAAACTTAATAAGTAAATTCAATAAATAAGATACTGTTTGGCTTCATTTCCTCTTTTGCAAAGTGATGGGGTTGGACTAAATAATGTGCACAGAAGGTTTCAGCAGTGGTTTCG